CTGGGCCAAACATAACCTAGACCAATCCAGTTGATCCAGGCTTGGGGTTAGAATGCAATAAAGTATGGAATGTAAAATAGAGTTAAAAAAAAACTTTGCTGATAAGATATTTAAGAAATAATTTCTAAAGTTAAAAAAAGATAGTGACTAGATAAAACACTACTCTCTTCCTCCTCCACAATCACCATGGCAACCAGATTAAATCAGGAAGTCATTCCCTCACAGGGCAACAAAGATTTTGGTAAAACCTCCAGCACTAACTCCTTTTGGCTGGACCTTTTAGGCCTTGGATGATAAGGAAGCCAAACAAACTCCCACCCCCTTAAAGGACCATCACAGACTCAATATAATGGATGTTGCTTCTAACACCAAAATGCTTAAAAATAAATGAAAGAAAGAAGAGGTAAATAAAGAGAACAGATGAAAGAATGAATATACAGATAAAAATACTCTTTTAAAAAGACCTGATGTTCTTTAGGTAGGATGGTTTTATTTTAGGAGAAAATGTGATCTAGTGGAAAGGGCACTGACCTGTGAACCAGGAGACCTCCAAGAGTTTTAACTCTAATTGCCCTAAAGGTGGCCCTAATCAGCATCATCACATCTTTAGATGTGAAAGGCACATATTCCAAAAATTCTTTCTTCAAGGATCCAGGATCTCCCTGGAAGGTTACTCCTACTGACACAGATCGAAATCCATTCATCACTTGATAAATAGTCTTTTTGAATGCTGTGGCAAAAAATAAATGAATAAAATTTCAGCCCCCAGTGGTCATCCCTGTAGTGGTGAGCCCCTCCAAACTTAATTGGGCTGGTCTGTTGTTGGGCTTGTACACAAAGCCTTTCCATCTTGATAGGACAGACTGCAGTATATGCCCAGATTGCAAAGTCAGTGAAAACCCAGGGCTACCTCCATATCATAGAGGAAAACATCATTGGAGGATGTGTATCACAAGAGAGAAAAGATGACTGATAACCAGAAATATAGCACAAATTTATTGGATTATTTTAATTGACTAGACCAATCCCTTCTTTGAGGATGATCTACAAGGTATTTAGCACGGGGTTAAACAACAAGTACATCGTGATTGACTCATTGATTATTTCATTCAGCTAAAAATATTAGTTACCTCTGTGATCTGAGTGGTCATTAAAGTCCAAACAACAAAATTTAGTTGTATAGAAATAAGGATAGGGATAGGGATTAGAACTATGATTTCATTGGCATGGGGAATTTCCAGGTGAACAAACGTTCTGTTAATGAAGATTGTCACTTTCTCTGAAACTTAAATTCTTAGAGAGTTTCCTACAGCACTGAAAGTTTAAGTGACTTGCTCAGCATCACCCAGCCCCATACCAGATATGGAACTTGTATCCAAATCTTCATGGCACCAGGGCCAGCTCTCTCTCCACTACAGAACTTGCCTTCTTGCCTATTTGCAAATGTTTATTTAAAAAATATATGCACTCAAAAAAACCCCAAATTTAAAGGAAGAATCAGTTTTCTCTAAACTGGGCTCGGATTCCTGGGCTTCATGCATTTAAGTACAAGATATAGGGAGAGCAGACTTGTAAGACAAAGTTCCAAGATCTGAAGGAAGGAGGCATGTGGAAGATCTGAAGGATCTGGGAAGCTCTAGTTATTAAGAGCCAAGCAGTAAAATGACTATTAGCTACTGAAAACAGTTAGCAAAATGAAAGAAAGGAAGGAAGGAAGGAAGAACACCAAAAATTAAAAAAAAAAACTATAGGCCAAAAGTCAACTAAACTTACTTTTTAAAATTAAAAACTCTATTTTCAACTACAAACTTAAAAATGAGAAACAAAACCCCAATTTTAGGAAATCTTAGGGTGTGTCTGGGTGCACCCTGTATATCCACCTGTGGCCTGTGCAGGAGAAGGAAGGCATCTGGAGCAGGGTGGAGGAGAGGGAAACACCCATGAACAGATGGCAAGATGCCTGTGATGATTAGGCCCTGGTGTCCTGGTGGATCACTAGATGGCAAGAAGCAAGGTTGGGTCTGAGGCCAGCTAGATAGAGAGGACTGATATGCAGATTGGTTCACCATCCTGTCCAGGGCAGCTCTGCCCCAGAGCCAACCCAAAACTGAATGCAATTAGTGCTGAGAGATTCTCTGGAGGCTGGATCTGAGGGTGACTGTTACTGGTGGAGAATCAGGCAGGGTCAGATAGCAAGATGCCTTAGCTGGCTAGACCTTGAGATCCCAGTAGATAGATACTCCATTATTTGATCTTGACCTTTTATACGATGGCCTAGACAACACTCCTGGACATAGACAGGCATGACACCACTCCATCCTCAGTGAATTGCCCAATTTTTCTAGCCCTGACTTCCTGCCCTTCATATATATTTCCCTGTTACTAAATACCCATGGTCCCAGTGCTGGCAACTTGCTTCTTAGCAGAAAAAAGCATCTGGCAATTACCCCAGGGGAGAATGACCTCATATCACTATAATTAAAGTGATTATTTGAGCGGAAATGTCTATTATAAAGCAGTCTTCTCTGTTTTAATATGTGTAGTCCTTGTAATAGGAACATGGGAATTGTATGTTAACACTGACGCCTCTTCCACTGTCTAATAAATCATTCTTTCCAATTTCCCAGAGGAGAGGCTGTAAGTCTGCTTAATAACTAAGGACAAGCACACACAATTCCATTAGTTCTTAGGACCATGGAGCTCTCATTAGGAAAGTGAATTCCAAGAGCTCACAGTGATTTAGATAAACTCCATAGGTCTGATAAAAACCAAAGGATTCTAAGGTGATACAGGAGAGGGAAGGAGAGCTGCCTGGAATAGACTTTAATGAATTCTAATATCCGTTTTCCCCAAAAGAAAAGAAAAATCTTAAACACCAGCCCTTGAGGATAGACAAGTTATTGTTTCATTCAAAGGAAGTAAAGAGATGAATTGTCAGAAGGAATAACAGTGTTTGGAAGGGTCTCCAAATAGTCTTTGGAGATTTTGTGGAAATTACTCCTACCTTGCAAGGCTTTTAGGACTAAACACAATAAGGAATAACCTCTGTGGTATGATTTTGGCAGGTAGGTGTCTCAGTGATTAAAGTGATGGGGCCAGAGTCAGGGAGATCTGAGTTCAAATCCAGCCTTAAACACTTACTACATATGTGACCTAGGACAAGTAGCTTAAGCTCAGTCTGCTTTCTTTTCCTCAACTTCAAAATGGGGGTAATAACAGCATTTATTTCCCAGGGATGTTGTGAGGATCAAAGGATATACTAATTATAAAGCACTTAGCAAAGTTCCTGGCGCATTGTAGGTGCTATATCAATGCTTATGCCCTTCCCTTTTCCTCTGATTTCAAGGATATCAGGCAAGTTCTTGGTCCCCAAACATCATTCCCCATGTGTTCGCTTATAACTGAAATGCCAACATTATCAGTTAGGTAATATCAACCTAGGAGTCCTCCTGGTTTTTTTGTCTCTTTATTGTCTCTCACCTTCCCCTACCCCATATTGAATCTGTTGGCAAAGTCTGTCGATTTTGCCTTTGCAACATCCTTGAATATGCCCCCTTCTCTCCTCTAACACAGACCCCACTCTAGTATAGACCTTTATCAACTCATGCCTAGACTATCACAGTAGAGTAGCGGGGGTCTGCCTGCCTCCAGTCTCTCCCCACTCCAATTCGTCCTTCACTGAGTCACCAAAATGATTTTCCTGAAGCACTGACCATGTCACTGCCCTACTCAGTAAATTCCAATGGCTCTCTATCACCTCTAGGATCAAATATTAAATGCTCAGTTTGGCAGAGTCCTTTATGATCTATCCCCATACTACCTTTCCAGTCTTCTTACCACTTACTCCCCACCATGTATTCTTTCATCCAGTGACACTGGCCTGGCTGTTTTACAAACAAGTCAGCTCCTAGAATTCTCTCTGGCCTGTTCACCATGCCTGAAATGCTCTCCCTCCTCTACCCCATTGACTTCTCTGGCTTATTTTAAATCCCAACTGAAATCCTATCCCTTTCCCAAACCCTCTTAATTCCAGTTATTTCTATTATTCTATTATTTCCATTTGTCCTGTATGAAGCTTGCTTTCTATATATCTCTTTGCATGTTGTCTTCCTGATTAGATTGTAAACTTTTTGAGGCCAGGGGTTGGGTTTTTTGTTTATTTCCAGTGCTTAGCACGGTGCCTGGCCATAGTAGACATCTAATGTTTATTGATTGATTGATTATTGATTGACAACTTGACTTAAGATTTATTCCACTTTAAATATAGCTGTCTTCGGAAGGGACATCAGGTTATACTTTGTCATTTATATCTTAGTATAATAAGAATATCAGTTCTTGACTGAAAATAGAGTTAATTTTAGGGAGGGCAGGTTTTGAGAGGCAGCAGTACTGTGAGATTCAACATAGTTTAGTGGAAAGAGCACTAGACTTGGAGTCAGGAAGATCTGCATTCAGATCCTGTGGTTTACACTCAATGGTTGTGTAATCCTGGATGAGTCATTTAAACTCCTTGAATTTCAGTTTCCTCATCTATAAAAAGAGCTTAACAATAATTATAGTAGCTACCTCAGCAGGCTTTTGGGAAGCTCGAATGAGATAACTTAAGTGAAGTGTTTTATAAATGTATATTCCTATTAAAGTCTTATTTTGGAAACATAGAATATGGCTAATTAGCTAATCAGGGGCAATGCTGAGACTTGAACCCGTATCTGATAATCTCCAGTCCAGTACCCTTTCCAAGATAGATGATACTTCACCCATTATTAGTGTTATTCTTCCTGTCCCCTCCTTCCTACAGAATGTTATGGACCCCAGAACAGGGCAGGGCAGGACAATTGAGGAAGGGTGTTCAAAAATCTCAGGAGAAGCCCCATACTTAGTTTTAAGGCGAGGTTGATGGTGGTAAAAAGAAGATGGAAAGTACCAATGGATGGATGATTTCTCTCCATTCAACCATATTTATGTAATCTATCTTGGGCCCTTGTGCTCTCTCTTCCCAGCAGGAGATACCAGTCCGGGGAATGACATCATCATCATTGCAGGTGAGTAAGTTCTCTGAGAAAAGAAACTTTAACCTTGCTTTCAGCATCCCTTCCCCATATCTACCTCCTAGACAGGACAAAATTCCAGTTTTGGCTTTGGTACCCCCTGTACCATTTACCCATTCTACTTTTGAAAATTTCCAGGAACTATAGTCAGTTCTATCACCTTATACCTTAGACCATGGGTGGGGAACCTGCAGCCTCGAGGCCACATATGGCCTTCTAGGTCCTTGGGTGTGGCCTTTTGACGTAGTCTAAATTTTACAGAACAAATCCATTTATTCAGGGAATTTGTTCTGTGAAGTTTGGATTTAGTCAAAGGGCCACACGTGAGGACCTAGAGGGTCACATGTGGCCTCGAGGCCTCAGGTTCGCCACTCTTGCCTTAGACTCTCAGGCCTAGGGGAGCAGTGCTATCTTTGGTGCTTATCTCTATCCCTACCTGACCAACAAAGATTTATCCCCTCAAGTTTCTCATACTGACCTTGACAATCATCAGCTATATAGTCATGGAGATCACAAAGCTCTAGCCTTGGAATTCTGTCTCTCTGGTTCTGTCTGTCTCTGTCCTTCTATGACTCTCTGTCTCCCACCCACCCTGTCTCTCTTACTCTCTGTTTTTATTTCTTTCTCTTTGCCTCTGTCTTTGTCTCTCTATCTCTATCTGTCTGTCTCTATCTCTCTTGGTATTTTATATACAATTTTCTTTTTATGCTCTACTTACTACATAAAATCTGATTTTATTTGATCTTTACTAAATTTAGAATTTTTAAAATAAAATTCAAAATGATTAAAAATAAATAAAATAATATCTGACATTTACATAGAACTTTAAGGCTTGCCAAGCATATCATATACAATAGCTTGCTCATTTGTGGTTCTTTGTTTCACGCAGTTGTGATTGCTGCTGTGGTCTTTGTCCTCATCTGCCTCCTGCTTGTAATTCTGCATTACACGTGCCGGCACAAGGGCACCTACTACACAAATGAAGACAAGGGAACTGAGTTTGCAGAGAGTGCGGAAGAAGCCCTGAAAAACGACCCAACCCTTGAGGAACCTGGAGATGAGAGCAAAAAAGAATATTTCATTTGAGAAACAGGAATGATTCCCCCACCAAAAAAAAAGTCACCACACAGAGATTTTCTTAATGTTCCCCACCATGGAGGATACACCTCACAATACTACATCTGGGAAACAGGAAAGCCCCAGTGATATGGCCATTTTGAGGGGAAGCTGCAGCTGCCACCACCCCCATTTCGTGGCCATTTTCTTTTTTCAGGGAGAACTGAATGCCAGATTGGGGGTTATTGATTTCATTTGCAATACAGATGGTCACCGTTAAATTCAATGTCGTGGGAGCAGGGACATGGGGTAGGGGAGGGAGTGGAATGGGAAATTTAATCATTAATATACTGACAGGGCATAATGATATCAAATGTCAGTCCTTGACATTTAGGAAAAACAACAGGTGCCAATGCAAAAAAAAAAAAAGGATACCTTAACAGCAGAGGATGCGCATGTCCCATTGATATATAGCAGAGCTATTGGAAATAAATTTTAAATGGTAACAGAACATTATGAACCAGATAACATTGTGATTATATGGAAAAACAGAAAACACGGCTCAGTGCCCTGTCAGGGACTTTTCTCATCTCTCTTGTGTTGTTTGTTTCTTACTTTTAACATTAACTATATTGGGTGGGTCAGTTTCCATTTTAGATATTTACAAAGCCTAGTACACTCTGCCAACAGCATGGAACAGAAATTTAAGAAAAAATGATCCCTAAAAATAAAAGGGGGTGGGGTAGGGTGATTGTCTGGACTCAAGTGGCCTCTTAAGAGAAGGAAGTTACTGGTATATGGCAGAATCACAAACCACCAGGGTGAATATATGTGAATCTTGGCTAAGCATTTACCAAGGATGGAAAAGGAATGACATTCTCAGGAAACAAGATCTGAGATGTCCCACTCTACTGGGTTGCAAATGGAGTGAAAGTTCTCTGGTCTGAGTCTTTTTCACTGTGATCACTAGTACCAGGATTCACAGAAGGAACCTTTTCACTTCTTCATTTAACATTAGCATTGGGCATCCATGATACAACAAAATCAAGGTGATTCTGTTGACCCAACCAGTTACTGGAGTTTTTGGAGCATTGTACGTATGAGACATTAAATGATTTTGCCTTTTTCTCAGATGTCACTTAACCTTCCTAGGCCTCAGTTTCTTCACCTATTTATAGATGAAGGTTTATAGATCATTTTAATGAAGTGGTTGCACCAGAGATGGTCTCTGAGGTCCTTTCCAGCTACAAATCTGTGATTTCATGGTAATTGTGTTGGTACCACATAGACTCAGCCTCTGTCATCTTTCTGGTCCTAAAGTCATCCCTTAATGTAACTGTTAGACTTGATCTTTCATGATATCCACGGCACATACTAAAGAGTATGTATATGAACAGAACAGAGAAACACAAAAGATTATTTTTTTGTCCAGGCCTGTGATTTCATCCGTGAGCAGAACACTCATGGTGTGCAAAATCTTTCCACTAACATAGGTCACTAACCCTTTCATATTGTCCTAAAGAGTTTTCTAGCACAATGAGAGATTGAGTGATTCACCTATGGTAACACAGCTACTATGTCTGAGAGGCAGGATTTCCTGTCTATGAGATTGGAGCTTTATGTCATGTGCCAGATAGCCTCTCAAATGTTGTCACAAATGTACAATGTCAGGACTTCCAAGGTCTCTGATTTCATCAGTGTAAGATCACAGACTCTCCATGTCTTACAAGCTAGGTTTTATAAATTGTTCTGGCCCCAAATAATTCATTACTCAAGACCAAACTTCAGTTATTCGTATTAGTAAGATCTCTCTCTCTCTCTCTCTCTCTCTCCATATATGTATATGTGTGTATGTACACATATACAATATAAATATATGTGAATGAACAAATATTATCTACAGCAGTATATTTTAATTACAGTATCTTTTTATATCATCTTCATTTCTGAATATATTCTTCCTCTACCTAGTGAGTCATCCCTTTTAACAAAGAAAAAATTAGAAAGTAATAATATAGCAACACTTTTTAAATAAGAAAATTAATAACTATAGTTTTGGATACATAACAAAGTTAAGAAATCAATCTATCAATGACTCTCGATCTTGCTGAGTCTCTCAGCTGGTCTTTCGAAAGCCGCTGGAGCCAGAAGAAAGGAAAGAAAAAAGTGTCTATTATGTGCCAGGTACTGTGCTGAGAGCTTTACAAATATTATCTCATTTAATCCTTACAACAACTCGGGGAGATAGGTGCTTTTATTATTCCCATTGTATAGTTGAGGAAACTGAGGTAAATAGAAGTTAAGTGACTTGCTCAGGGTTACACAGCTAGTAAGTCTGGTCTGAGATTGAATTTGAACTCAGGGCTTTCTGATTCCAGGCCCAATGCTCTATCCACTGCGCCACCTAGTGGCCTCCAGGTGCCAGGGTACTTTCAGAATCTAAAGGAGGTTCTGTGTTCTACAGCCTTCATGAATCTGTCAATCTTCCTTCCGGTCACAGACAGGAAGCAAGTGTTCTTCTTATTTGCTTAACCCCAGTCAGTGATGGATAAGCCCACTCGGGGATAAACAAGAAAACCATGTGGAAGGGGTGATAGAGATGAGAGTGGTCAACACCATGGTACAAAGATCAGAGTACAAGACCCTGTGTCAGTTTAAACAGGTCACTTCCTCTTCCTGAGCTTTCCTTTTCTCATCTGCAGAATGAGACTAAATGAGCTCCAGTCCTCCTTTCTACAAGTCCTATGATTCTATAAATGGGTGCCTGGTGTTGCCTTTTAGGACAATGAAGGGAAATTCCCTAATGTTCGTTTAAAAAAGTGTATTCTCCTCAAAGTTGTAAGAAATCTCATTGGAAAGAAGGAGCCCCTGGCAGGGTTCTTGAAAAATTCGTCTCCTCACCCCATCCCCATCTGTTGATTTCCATTACTATTTTTTTTAATCTAGCCTGGAATCTGCCCAGCCCATTCAGAACTTAGCCTTTGCTTGGGTCTGTTTGCTTCCTGGTATTTTCATTTTCTAAACCCTAAATGTGATGTGGGTCTGTGGAAAATTGGGAGAAGTGAGGTTAGGCTATAAAAAACTAGAATCATTGATCTAGCACTTGGAAGAGAAACCGGGGGCCCTCTAGTCCAACCCCCTTACTTATAGATAAAAGAATGGATAAGTATCATCATCTAACATTTACATAGCACTTACTACATGCCAGGCACTGTGCTAAGTGCTTAACAATTATTATCTTATTTGATCCTCATAACAACCCCGGGAGATAGGTGCCATTATTATCCCCATTTTACAGATGAGGAAACTGAGGTTGACAAGGATTAAGTAACTTGCCCAGGGTCACACAGCTAGTAAGTATCTAAGGCCAGATTTGAACTCAGGTCTCCTTGACTCCAGGCCCAGGTGCCCCCCAGGTGCCCCTAATGGAAACCTAGGTAGGATGAATAAATTGCCTAAGTTCACAACAGGTAGTGAGCATGTGAGATGGCATCTGAATCCTCAGGTCCTCTTACTCCAGAGCTGGTGCAACTCCTGAAACTGGCTTCCTGTTTCCAACAGTAAATAGTAGACATTGTGGGTCATTATCTCCCAATGATCCCTGAGTCCTTTCTAAGTTTCCATGCTGAAATGGCAGAACCCAGAACTCCGATAGACTTTCCCTCATAAGTTCTTCTGCCTGTGCTCCCTCCTAGCATTGTAAAGGAATGTTGTGAAAATCAGTTCATTCCCAGCGAGTTCTGAATGCACAATTGAGAACAGATGCAGTCGCTCAAATCAACAGGAAAGTCTTGCAGATGGGGACTTCTGAATCTATGGGAACATTTCCAACAATTTCCAAAGAACGCCATTGGTTATAGGATCAACTAGAAATATCATGCCAGCTAGATTTTTGTTCCATGCCAGGAAGGAAAAAGAAAAAGGTACCTTTACATACACACACATATCTTTATCTATATGTATACATACATCCTTTTTTAAATAATATTTTTTGTCCCCAATTACATGTTAAGACAATTTTTAACATTTGGGTTTTTTTTTTAAGTTTGGAGTTCCCTCCCTCCTTCCCCTCCCTCCTCCCTGAGACAGTAATATTAACTTTTTAGTCAATTCAATCTGGTCTACTCCAAGTCAAGTCTTTATTGAGCATTTACTGTATACCCAGCCCTGCTTTACTAGTTGCCAGCATGCAAGATACAAAAAAAGAGACATTTTTCTTTCTCTTAAGGAACTTACAGTCTACTTAAGAAGGTATTATTAACAGATGCATGAAAGACTTAAAATAATAGCAAAATATGATTAATACCATATCCCATGCACATATGTTGCTACTTGTGGCATATATGAAGCTACAAATGGACAAACATATATACACATACTGTACATATATAAATATACAGATAAAAGCACACTTTGTTGAAGCCCACAAACCCAAGAAATTTTTTGTCGTAGATGAGAGTATGTAACCAGGTTTCCTTAACTAAGAAATGGCTGTTTATTCCTCAGTGCATTTGCTCCTATGCACTGAACCCCTATGTATCAGGTCCATACAATCTGAGTTTAGTGTTGTTAAATTTGCTGAGAAGACCCAGGACACTTTACCAGCACCCACATCCCTTGGGGTGTGTAGTTCTGACCTATTGAACCTTGTGTTAACCTTCTCTAAATTCCAACTTGCTTTAAGCCTATAGATAGTAGCACCACCACCACCACCACAACGACGACGTCTCACCAACACAGAGCAAGCTACTCAGATATTCTAGAAGGCACCCTAGCAGTGGGGGGGAACCTGTGGCCTATGGGGAATGACAGATAGCAAGAGAGGTCAGAGGAAACGAAGGCGAGCAATGTTTAAGTAAAGATTAAAAGTACTACAACCATGTGGGCATTGCATCAAACTGGTTTGTCCTCCAGTCTTCCCTTGCCCTTCTCTACAATGACTTGGAAGTCACAAGTCAGATCTCAAGGTCAATACTCTTTCTGAAGGAAGAGGGATGGCATTGACATTCTCTGTGATGAGGCAGATAGTGACAAGAGATTGATTTTAAAATGTCAATAGACTAGTTTTCGGAGGGAAATAATTCAAAAGGAATCAAACAACAGACAAGCATGGAGAAAGTCCTTAGTATGTGACAGCCACTATGCTGTGTGTTGGGGATATGAATACAAAGAATGAAATAATCTCTCCTCTCAAGGAGCTTCTATGCTAACAGAATCAATGTTTAGCTCTCAAATGACATTATCTGAACAGGAATTAACTGTTTGAAGGAAAAGACCAGAAATTAACTATTTGCAAAACTGCTACTTGGGAATCTATGGACCATATGAAATCTTTCCATTTGGGGTGAAAGTATTCACTCCAGTGAAAAGATACACTCCGTCACTCTCTGTATCTCAATTTTTCTCATGAGTTAAATAGAGATAAAAATCCCTTTCCACTGAGAAGATTGCCCTTAAAAGTGAAAGCATTCATAAAAATATGAAATACTCTACAAATGTAATATATTATTTCTGTT